TGTGACAAAATTACTAACCAATTACGACATGATATTTTTTCGAGGTTCTTATCATTAAAAAATAAACTTGGAAAGTAATCCTAACTATGAATAATAGATTAGCTTACTATTTAAAATTAGACCCTTAAAAACATGATATTTATTTTTTTTCAAAAGTTGGAAAATGATAATTCAATTTTGGTTTAGTTATTGTGACTCCCTTCCAATAGACAAAATGCTTAATATATCCATTAGGAAATGTTCGAGTTGTTACAAGAGTTGTTTCATGACTTATTTAGCTAAAGATCTTGTATTTAAATCTTAAAATAGGTTTGCATTGGAAGCATTTGTAAGCATTTATAAATGGAGAGAGGACACTCCATGAAACTCATGTGCATCTCATGGTCAATGATGCTAAAAACATATAATATAATATATTCTATTAATGTTTATAAATTTTAATATAATTAATATTAAAAAATTAACCATAAATTAATTATAACTAACAACATAAGTAATTTAATAATAATATTTTTTTTGTGAAAGTAAAAAGGTTTTAGTTTGGGTTACGTAGTGTATGAATTAAATGTAAGGCTAAATTATAAGAAATAATTACTTTACATTGTACAACTTAAAATCAAAAAATAAAAATAAAAATGCATGCATGTCAAAATATTTCAAGTAATAGTGAGTTTTGTTCTTAAGTTGAAAATTCTTAATCATGAAATAAAGGCTTTGTTTTGTATTGAACTACCATTTTCTGTAATAACATGGGATAATACAGATATTCAAAACTTTGAAGTTTAATTTCAAAAATACTTACAAATCACTTATAAAATGTTAATAAAAAAACTTCAACTTCAAAAAAATGGTGAGCGTTGCCTATGAGCATTATTTGTACCTAAATAACAATAAAGAGATTCAAACCTTCTAACAATTAACCTTGACAACTAATGTCAAGTTTTCGGACAGTTTTTGTCAATAATGCAGGACGATTAGGCGAATAAGTGTTAAGTAAATTTTCAAAAGCGAGTTGGTAATCACCACCAAATTAAGAGAGGAGGAAACGCAACGTTTTATTGAAAATTAGAAGCAAGATCCTGTTGGAGGGTAGACCGACTCGGGCAGCTTCTCTT